GCGGGGCGGACGAGCCGGAAAGCAGGCGAGCGGAGCCGTGAAGTCGGGCAAACAGGGTTTATTAGTAGACTGAGGGTCGACAGGTACGAACATCCACTGACACTACAATGACGCATCTGACGAGATATACTCAGACGCGGACTAAATACATAAGACTAGCCAGAAATAACAGGACACAGGTGATCACAACCAGGAGTTGACACCAGGTAATGAGGGGGCGTGGCACACACAAGGATCGGACGGAGCTGGGCGTGACATTTAGCTGGGTTATCATAGGCAGGGTCACATATTGTAATATTTAAGATAATGTGTTTATTTGCGAAAAATATTTCACAGAGGTTAGCAAATTGTAGTTGACAGTTTCAAAGGCAGCTCACATCTCAAATGCTGTTATATAAAATTGTAATTATAATATTGCAATGTTTTTTCACCCTTGTTTTGTTTTTTTCTTTACTCTTCAGAAAATGCTGTTAAAGGTGATGAGCGCATTACTTGAGCTGTTGGTCTCTGCAAAAAGTTAGTGGGACATTTCTCCCACACCTGGAAGGGGAAAATGGCACTGAAAAAAGCACAGAAAGAGCACAACCTCCCGGAGCACTCCCTCATCACAGAATGCCCTACAAGGTGGGGTTCGAGGCAGAGAATGATTCAGAGGGTTCTAGAGCAGCAGCGGGCCATAAGCGTCGTCCTGTCAGCAGACAGAAAGTCAAGACATTTAGTTCCTTCTTGGCAGGACCTAGATGTACTGGAGTCTGTAAACCAGGCATTGCAGCCTCTGCAAGAATTTACAGATGCTCTATTAGGTGAAAGTTACGTAAGTTTCATATGTGAAACCTGTACTTCACTTGATGAACACCTCAATTCTTGCTGCAAAGGAAGAAGACAGTGATCTAACAAAGTCCATAAAGATGAAGATTCTAGAGTACATGAACACCAAGTATGACAACCCAGCAACTCAAGAACTGCTGGACATGACCTCCTTTATGGACCCCAGATTCAAAGCCAACTACATCAGCTCTGACAAGGTGTCAGACATCAGAGCCAGGGTGATGTCTGAAATTGAAGCAATTGTGCCAAAGGTAAATGTTAATATGACAATTGTAAGTGACAAAATAATGCACTATAACTAAATTTGATTACAGTATTTACTTTATTTCTCTATTTTAGGAGCAAGACCTAAGTAATCAAGATCACCAGGGCATGGGTCCAACAGATGTCACCTTAAAGAAGGCC